CACCCCCCACTCTAGGATGGCGCAGGTGGCTGCTCCCGACCCTCCGCGGATGGGTAGGTGCGTCCCCCCCCAACCCCCCTTCGGTGGGCTGCGCGCGCAGCGTCCCTCCCCCGTCTCCCTCCCTCGCCCTTAACGGTCGTTCCGCGGCCGTTAACGGCCCCCTAGGCCGCACCTCAGGGCTGCGCGTGCGCGCCAGGCTGAAACAAAACCCAGTGGAGTCGATATCAAGAACCTGGATATCTTTTCTTGATCCTAGCTGACTTGAAGGGGCTGGACTGGATGATCTCATAAGGTGGCTTCCAGTCCCTAATGTCGATGAAATCTATCAAACCTTGTCTGGAAAAAAAAAAAATTGAGTTGATGCCAGGTTTCCCCAAAGAAACTTGTCCACAAAAAAAATCGAGTCAGTCAGGTTTCCCCAACAACCTTGTCTGAAAAAAAATTGAGTTGAGTCGATGTCGGGTTTCTGCAAAAAACCTTGTCTGAAAAAAAAAGAGTTGAGTCGATGTCGAGTTTCCCCCAAAAACCGTGTCTGAAAAAAGATGGAGTTGAGTCGGTGTCAGGTTTCCCCAAAAACCTTGTCTGAAAAAAAAAAGGAGTTGAGTCGATGTCGAGTTTCCCCCAAAACCCTTGTCTGAAAAAAGATTGAATTGAGTCGAGGTCAGGTTTCCCCAAAATACCTTGTCTGAAAAAAGATCGAGTTGAGTTGATGTCGGGTTTCCCCAAAAAACCTGGATATTTTCCTTGCGGGGGTCACTTGATCCCAGCTGACTTCGTGCCTATGGCGGCGGGGCTGGGCTCGATCTCATGAGGGTCCTTCCAGTTCCTAATGTCTATGAAATCTATGAAACCTTGTCTGGAAAAAAGATGGAGTTGAGGATGTCAGGTTTCCACAAAGAACTTCGTTTACAACAATAATCAAGCCATCCATGACTCGATAGAGACATGGGTTGAACTCGCCCCTGGCCCCCGGACTCCCCGAGCAGCCTCTTGGCTCCGTGTCGTGCTGTTGTATTGGGGTGGCGGCACATTGGCGCGCGGCTAGTGCCGGATCTAGGTTTCAGATACTTAAACTACATTTTATGGCCTCACCCTATGAGGGGCTGCTAGATAACAAAAAAAAACTGGGTGTTTTTGTTCTGATATGACAAAAATAGACATATATAGTATGTTGGACATAGTTATTGTTCACGTTGGGTTCATAAAGGTGTGCAGAAATAACAATACAGGCGTTGGCAATGTGCAGGGGGTGCATGTGGGTGATGTGCAACTCCTGAGTGTGGCGGTGCACCCCCTACGAAAAGGTGCTGCTGACACTACCGCCGGTGGCTGCGGGCAGTCGCCACTTGCCACTCCCCCAGCGTCTGCGGGAGGTCTGCGATCGCCGCTGGCCAGTGCTGCTGGCAGTGTCTGCAGGTGGTCACTAACCGCCAGTCATGCTCGCAAACCGCCCCGCCCCCCCCCCGCCAACAGCGTCGTGGCTGCCTGCGAGAGCTCCCTGCTTACCGCCGCCATGCTCCCACTGCCAACAGTGCCATCGCTGCCTGCGGCAGCTCGCTGTGGCCCCCCAGCCTCCGGGGGCACGTGGCGTTCATGAATACAGGTTTCCCTCGCCAGCCCCAGTTTTTACAGTTGTTATTCATATTGAGTCCATGAATTTGTGCAGAAATAACAATACAGGTTTCCCTCACCAACCACGGTTTTGAAAATCCGTGCTTAATATTCTATATAAACCATTGCGGCTACCACGGTACAGAGTTTTGAGTAACCACAGTTTTCTGTGGCCATGCATCAGCCTGCCACCTGCCATTTTTCCTAGAAGACTTTTGTCTTGCCAACCATGGTTTTGCCAACCACAGGAACTTTGAGGAGTCTAACCCCAGCGGTTGGCAAGGGAAACCTGTAATTCATCTTCAAAGGTCATGAAAATCCATTTTCGTGCATTATATTTATCATATGTGGCCTCTTAAACTGGACATAGTTTAGGGACCCAGCATGTCATAATGCGTCACTGCGCGTGGCCCCTCAGCTTTGGTTTCCATCTTGAGGGGGAGTTCGCAGCTGTAGTGCGCAGGGGCGGTTGGGTTTGTGGGTGGGCCCCAACGGGCAACTGGGAGACTGGCTGGCTGGGGTGCAGGTGGCGGGGAATATCAATATCAATGGTGGAGTGTCCTGAGTGAAAACCATGTTCACTTTCAGGATAGATTCTTTCACCTAAACACTGCAGGCTAAGAGGCATGATGCGCGTGGGGTGTTTTCTGATGATGTTCCATAGGGAGATACCTCTATAGTTGTCACAGTCACTTCTATTCCCTTTGTTTACACCGAGCATCTTTGAACATTTCCGGTACCACTTCCTGACTTCATGAAGCTTCCAAAGTAATTTGTCATTGGCACATTTGTAGATTTCTGCAGGAAAACAGTCGTTGCCGAATACCTTGTTCCCAGGAATCAACGTAATGGCTTTCTGCAAATCTACTGTTGGCTCATTGTCTGTATCCATCATAACTTCATACTGTGACAATCCTTCAAGCTCTTCATGTTTGATTTTAGTCTTGCTGGAGTATGTCGTTCCATAGTGTTCAATCCAACGCTCAAGTTGTTTTTGTTTATCAGCAATGACATTTCCGTTTAAGTCTTTCAGCAGAGCTTTTTTGTCTTGACTGAACCAATTGCTTGTTTGACGTCTTTGTATATTCCATGGCTTTTACCTATGTCAGCTGCTTTCCAAATATTATTGCAGAGTTTGAGTCAAAAATATCGGGCGCACCTCTTAGCCTCCTTTTGCATTTCTCTTGAAGCTTTTCTCAGATTTTCTAGGGTTATGGTGTTGGGAGATTTTTTATAGTTGGTTAGCACTGTCCTTTTATTCTCAACTAGTGGCAGAAGGGTTTCAGAGTGCTCTTCAAAACAGTTTGTAAATTTCTTGCATTTTTTGCCAAACGCTGTTATAGCAGAATTGTACATGTTTGCTTTTAAGCTTTCCAAAACCTTGGTGGCTGAGTTGTTAGGCAAACTTGTTTTTACATCCTCATTGAATAGTCTGCATTTTTCTATGACTTTAGTCTGGCTGATGACTATCAGAAAACAACTGGTAGTTTTGCTAAGGTGGATCTTTTTGACATTGATTTGACTTTGCATCAGACTAAGGCATGGTCAGTGTCACAGTCAGCACCGTGATAAGACCTCATATGCAGGATTTCTTTCAGGTGGTTACGCCTAGTCAGTACTAGATCTAATTGGTGCCAGTGCCCTGATCTTGGAATTTTCCATGCTGTCTTTCTTGTAGGGCTTTCAATCGGCATTAATGTGTGCGATTAACGCAAGAACTGATTAACGCATTCATTTTTTTAATGCGTTAATCATGCACGTGGTTTCGGAGCCTGTACCTGGGCTTCTGTCTGCCACCATCATCTCTGTGTGCAGGCACACAACTGCAGCATGCGTGCAGTCAGAAATGCAGCTCGCTGGCATGTAGAGCAGCGCCCAGCAGGTAAGTCTGTGGAGGGGGAGGGGAAAGGGCAAGGGGAGAGTAAAATGGTGGGGGAGGGCAGATGGAGGCCTCCACGGTGAGGGAGGGAGTGAGGCAGGGGCAGGGGCTGGAGTGGATGGGGCCCCAAGGCCAGGGCAGGCAGTGGGATGGATCTGCAGGCAGCTCATCCAGGGGGGCGGGGGTGAGGGAGGAAACGCCACGTTGTGTCTCCCGCTGCTGGGCAAGGCAGGGGATGTGCAGCCAGCACAGGGATCCTGGGGCAAGGGCAATAAGGTGCAGAGTCCCAGCCCACAATCAGCAGCCTGCCTCTACTCCATGCACAAATTTGAGGTTCACATGCCTCCCATGCTTCTCCCAGGGGTGCACACAGCAGCAGGGAGCTGACTTCCTCTCCCACTGCACACCTGGACAAGCCACCCACGGCTCTGTCTCAAGACCCACCCTGGTCTTGGGGTCCCATTCACCCCTGCCCTGCTCCCTCCCTCACCGTGGGGGCTTCCATCTGCCCCACCCCTTACCTCTCTTCCTGTCTTCCCACCCCCCTTTCACTGACTTACCTGCTGGGCACTGTTCTACATGCCATTGGGCTGCATTCCAGTAAGGTTACTATATTTCCAGTTTCAAAAGAGAGGACACCTTCAGTGGGGGGATAATATGATTGTGATGAGGGGCAGTGATATGCCAGTGCCCTGCCCCTGCCCCTTACTCCCAAGCCACAGCCCCCCCAGCCCTGCTGCTGCCCATCACTTCTGACCCACAGTACTCCACATCCTGCCAGGGCATGCAGGGATCCCCCACTCCCTGGGCTGCAGACCCTACATACACACCCACAGCCCCCTACACCTTCACAAATTAACTCCCACACACACACCCCACACCTACCCTCAACCATTCAGATTACCTGCATAATTTTGCATAACTTTGAGTTTTTAGCTGTGTGATTAAAATCGTGATAAATTGTGACTAATTTTTTTAATTGTGCAACTAATCAGATTATGTTTTTTTACTTTCTTGTGATTTTTGCCAGTGAAGTTGGTGTTGGTAACACAGATTTTGACTTGCACAAAGTTCTAACACTCGCTGGCCACTTTAATTCATATTACCAATTCCATGTTTGCCCAGAATACCAGGCCAGTTCTTAAAACTACATCCAGCTCTTGCATTGAAGTTGCCAAGTGTTATAATGGTCTCATTTCTGTGAGTTTTCTCAATCTCTTCTTCAAGTTGTTG